CCCCTCAGAGCACATGTGTGGGTGCAGAGAAGCTGCTTAAATGAAATCCATAGAACAAAAATTCTCAGGAACCTACATTAGTGATTTTCAACCAGAATCTCATGTCAACATTAGAGATGAGATTAAATAAGAATGACGTATCAGATATCTTGATACGAGAGAGTCAGGAATTATATGAGAAGCAGAATTCTCATGGCAGCATCAGTGGGGAGCTTTGTATAAATTTTCTGATTGGGCTCCACCAGGATCTGATAAGTCGCTGAGTGAAATATGGTGAATTTCGAAAGGCTCCCTTGTACAATGAACACAAAGCATTTTTGGTGGGTGGTACTGTGGATTGAACCCGGGGCCTTCACACTGAGCTCTATCCCCAGCTCTTTGCTATTTTTAACTTTGAGAGAGGGTCTCAGTTGTTAAGTTGCTCAGGTTGGTCTCAGACTTGTGATCTTCCTGACTCAGGTTCCCAGAGTGCTGGGATTACAGGCGTTTACGGTCATACCAGGCTACAAAAAGCATCTTTATCATTAAAAATTAAAAGGTTCATATTCAGTTATTAAAGAAAAATTTGATTTGGTGAGAACTGTTAGGATTTTTCTAAACAATGGCTTTTTGTTTTGTTGTTTTGAAAATGGCATCATTTGGAACCAAGATTTTCCTGGTTGGCTCCCTTGTCTTTTTTTTTTTTTTAAAACAGATAGGAAAAGTGACAACAAATACAACTTGCCTGGCTGGGGATTTAGCTCAGTGCTGCTGCTGCCTGCCTCACAAGAGCAAGGCCCTGAGCTGGATCCCTGGTACAGCAACAAACAAACAACCCCCCAAACAACAACAAAACTTGCCTAGAAAATTTTGACTCATCCACAGATGTTTCTAAGCCAGGAGAATCTCTAGTCTTATCCCTTCCTGCTACAGATAGGGAAACTGAGGCCCAGGCAGCAAAGCTACTGTGGGATGTCCTATCGCCATTTGCAACTTCTGTGCTTTATTGCACGCAGAGTACGCAGGAAGTGCTCAGTAAGTGTTAGCAGCTCTATTATTGTTGTCATAATTGAAAATCATTATCGTTAGTAGATCCAGGCTCAGAATCCAGAAAGCACTTCCCCATCTGGTTTATGGACTCAGATTTTCCTTCTGGTTCAGAAGACATTGAGGGGCCATTGAGTCTGGGATCCCCAGCCCTGTCTTCTCCAATGGAGATCTAACTGATGTGCTCGAACTCGCCCATTCCAGGGAAAGGGAGGAGGGTTCTTAGGCATGGTAAGAGCAGCAACATTGTGAACTCTGAAGAGAGGTCCACTCTGGCAGGAGGCTCGGGAGGACCGCAGCCGCCTCCTTCCAACCTGGAGAGGCCGCCTCCAGGCAGAGATGTGGATGAGCAGGGGCAGGACCCTGAGGTCGCAGGAAGTGGGACTGGCATGGCCCCATCTGTGTGCAGTTCCCCTGGGGAGTCTCTTCAGGCCAAGGCAGCTTCCTTGTAACCACTTCTCCCTGCGCTGGGTTGCTGGGTGGTCCAGAGGAAGGTGGGGGTAGGGCAGGTCAGGTCTGGGTATTGGAAGGATGGGGGGGGGCGCTGTGGAGCTGTGTGGGTGAGGGGTGGAGAGGGCTGGTGCAGAGGGAGAGTTGGGGGTCAGTGTTGGAAAGGTTTGGGGACACTGGGGAGGGACTGGCAGATGCCAGGACTCAGGGAGGACCAAGGGAGCTGGATGGGGTCCACTACAGGGAGGGTGGAGAGCAACCCCCTTTCTGAGAACCACTCCCCAGGTGGTTAGCTGGCCGGCTTCAACTCTGCCCTAAGCCCCTACACTGTGTCTGGGGCTCCAGAACATGTATCCCCCACCCCCGGTTCACCGAAGGCTGCCATTTGGAACGCATTTACAGACACATGGATTGTTTTTAAGTTAATGCTTTTTAATTCACTGTTTCCCAGTTGTAGTTTTTTATTGAAAAGGCGGATTCTGCCGGTGTGTGTTCCTTTGCTGGGGTGGGAGGGGCAGCTTCACGGAGAGAGATAGAGACCCGCTGTAGAGACAGAGAATATGGCTCAGTGAGGCAGTGGGAAACGGGTCACGGGGTAATCAGGGTCGGGGAGTAGGAAAGAGCCAGGGAGAGCGATGCGCAGAGACCGGAGAAGTCCGGAAGGTGAAGGCAGGAGGCAGGGTCGGAGCGGAGCCCGGCCGGGAGGAGGGAAGCGCTGAGTCCGGCTCCAGGGGAAGCGGCAGACACCCTCAACTCGACTGAGGCCCCTGGGCTTGCTTTCCCGCGGCTCGGCTCTCCGGTTTGGGCGGAATTCAGTTTGCAGGACCAGGGTCGGTGAAGGCCAGCAATGGAGATCGGAGAGTGAGAGTGAGGGACGAGGCCCCTCCGTCCCCGCAGACCCTGTTCTCCACCCTGGACCCCGCGCTGAGTTAGTCACGGGTGGCGTTCCTGGCTTGCTGTGCCGCCTGGGGACCGCTCCTTAACCTCTCTGAGCCCTGACTATGCCACCTGTAGGAGAGGAACGCGGAACGCGGATGG